TCCATTTTTTCTTCATGGTTTATTCATCCATTTCACCAGTGCAGAAACTGAGACCCAGGCAGGGAAAATGACTTCCCAACTTGCTACCACTTAGAAACAGTTAAGACTCCTTCCTCACTCTCATCCACCTCTCCATCTTCTACTTTCTCAACTCACGCAACAGATCCTTCCTCCCCAGCCAAGGCAGGCTTTAGTGAGGCTTCCTGATTATATATGTGTATCCTTGTGCAGATTCAGTTTCCCTTTTATAAGACGTTTGTCTAACATACATATAAAAGTGCACACATCACAAGTATTCACAGTGAACACTCATGTAACCTAAACCCAGATAAAGAAATAAAATGTTAGCAGCACCCCAGAAAACCCCTTCTAGTCACCTAGGCTGAACATAACCCTGACTCCCAACACTGTAGATTAGCCTGTTTTGGAGCTTTATATAAATGAAATTGTACAGCACATACACTTCCACATCAGGCTTCTTTTAAAAAAATATTTTACTTATTTATTTTAAACAGAGGGGAAAGAGAAAGAGAGGGAAATAAACATCAATGTATGGTTGCCTCTCACGTGCCCCCTACCAGGGACCTGGCCTGTAACGCATGCATGTGCCCTGACTAGGAATCGGTCCAGTAACCCTTTGGTTCACAGGTTGGCACTCAATGCACTGAGCCACACCAGCCAGGACTACATGTCAGGCTTCTTTTGCTTAACATACTGTCAGTGAGATTCATCCATATAGTTGTATTTCGCTGTAGAGTGTTCACTCTCATTGCTGTGCTAATATTCTATAGTGTGCCCATACTGCAATGTATTTATCCACTTGCCTGTTAATAGACATTTGGGTTGTTTCCAATATTGAGCTAATGAGAATAATGTTGTCCTGAGTAGTCTTGTACATGTCTTTTGGTGCATGCATACCTACATTTCTTTGGAATTGCTGGGTCATAAGGTGTGTGGGCATTCAGCTCTAGTAGATAGTGACAAATAGTTTTCCACAGTGGTTGTACCGAATTACATCGGTGACAGCAGTGGATGAGGTCCTGAGTGCTCCACATCCCCACAAATGATCACTAACCCTTTTAATTTAAGAAGGTAGGTGCTTGTGCAGAAGGCTGGCGTCAGCTTGCCTGTGTTTGAATCTCAGTTCTCTTCCTACCTGTAGACTTTCAGCAAAGCCAGTTCCCTAGTCTACAAAATGGGTTGAAAATCATGGGACTGTTAAGATCCCACAGAGCAGTGAGGTTAGGCTCCATAAACATTGGCTATTTGCAGTTAACTCTCACAGTGACCCGGCAGATCACTTCACTCCTCAGAGCCTCAGTCTCTCCTTCTGTAAAATGGTGATAAAAATACTGATACCCACATACACACAGTTGAGAGGATTACCAACAAATGAAATTGTGTGTTAAAGTGTCTATTTTTTTACTGAGATATAATACACATATTATGAAATTAACCCCTTTAAAGTCACTTGTAGTGCGTTCACAAAGTTATGCAACCGTCACACTAATTCTGCATTTCCATCACCCTAAAAGAAACCCCACGCCCTTTAGCAGTGATTCCCCATTTCTCCACACCAACTACTCCCAACTCCCAGCAACTTCTAATGCATTTTCTACCTCTATGTATGTAAAAAGTTCTGAATCTTTGCTTTTCCATTTTTTAACTTTCAAAAAAGTGAAATACCTTGCACTGGGACAGGCACATAATATGCACTTAATAAATGTTATCTGTGTGTGTGTGGATGGATAGATAGAACAACTGAGCAGGTAGATATAGCAGAAACCCATTCATTCAGCAAATACTCATTTGCATATTTGCACTTGAGAGGAAAAGGGTCTGTAGAGAGAAATAGATGTGGTTTTAGCTTTCAGGGAATTCGCCCTCTAGTGGAAAAGAGAGGTATGTGCACCACTCATGGTGAACGCAGAGCCAGATGAAATTAGTTGTATCTGAGCAAGGGTTGTGGAAACTGCGGGAACATGTGGGAAGTGTAGGTGGCACTTCTAGGATGGGTGAGCTTTCCCGACATGGAAGGGCAGTACGGGGGACAGATCCTGAGAACTAGGACTGGGAGAGAGGCAGGGTATAGTGTCAGGCAGGATCAACGGAACAAGCAGGTGTTCACAACCTGATTGGGACCTTGTCCTGCATCTTCATTCATGGTCATGAACAGGACTCATGTGGTAAGAAGATATGAACACAGAACAGTGGGTGACAGAGGCCAAATGGGAAAGGGAGCAAGAAGGTGAGCTGGGTCAGGTCACACAAGCCTGTGGTGTCATCTGGGCAAGAGCACCCTGAAATGTCTGTGCCTGCTGCCAGGTGTGCCAGGCCCCTCATACCACCAGCTGGTTTGGTTTCTCCAGTCGCACTGTGGCTAGAACCATTTTTTACGAGCAGAGAGCTTCAGCCTCATGCATGAAGGGGACTGGACCTCAGAGTCAGACTTGGTTCTGCCCTTTCTTAGCTAGGGAGCAAGAGTATCACCTCTCTGAGCCTGTTTCTTCACCTGTAAAGTGGAGGCAATACTACTTACTGCAGTAGGGCTAGAGACGATGGCTGAGAGTGTTGAACACAGTGCCTGGAACGAGGAGTGCGTACTTCCTTAAATGGCCAAAAACATAGGTTGAGGAAGCTGGCGAAGCACACATTCAAAGCCCAGTATTTAGGGTTTTTTTTGGAGGGGAAATCAGTTACACACACACACACACACACACATAACATTTTAATTGAAGATGTAGTCATGGAAGAAGTCAGAATTCACAGACACCATTGCATGTATTGTGCAGCTTAGTGTTTTGTTTTGAATTATACCAGTAGGGACTGTCTTTTCACTGCTTAGTCCTCCAAAGGTGTTATCAGGTCCTGAGGAGGATGGAGATAAGGTGCAGTGACTGTTGAGGGCTGACTAGTGGCTGGGGAAGTGGAAGGCCATAGGGTAAGGGAGATGACCCATTCTACTGAGACCCAGCTCAGGGGAAAGTCTCTTGAACCAAAGGACATTCAACTGGGAAGATTGTCTCCTGGAGACCGGAAACCTGGGGGAACATGTTGGGGTGAGCTGGGGATGCTGATGGCAGAGGCTTAGAGCCAGAGGTGGTGAAAATTGTAGGACCCTGAAAAATCACCGAATTCAGCTTCCCATTTCATAGGTGGAGAGACGGAGCCCAGGTAAGACAGATTTGCCTAGGGTCATTCGTGGAATTACTGACAGAGCCAGGATCAATTCAGATCTCTGCTTAAGCCAGGACCCCTGAAGCTAGGAGATTCCAAGGGACCCTGCTTTCTATCCCTATCCCACCACAGTGGCCACCAGTCCCTCTTAGCATCATGCCCTTCTCCATGCATTCCCCAAGTCCCTGAGTTCCCTGTGTGAGGGTTCAGAGACCCTGGGACACAGTTCTGCCTCAGGACCCACTGGCCAGGGAAGAAGCCAGATAGGCACATAATGAGTCATGACCCTAAGGGTCAAGTCAAGGAACGTGTATAAAGGACCCATGAACAAAGACAATGGGAGTGGGGGTAGGGGGAGAGAATTGAAAGTGGAAGGTGGGGGCGATGGGTAGGGCAGGGGAGAGTAATGAGGGGCAAATGGGGACAAGTGTAATTGAACAATATTTTTTTTTAAAGAAAGAGTAATGACCCTGTTGGTCTCTGTGCCAAGGATCCCAAAAGGGCCACTGAGGGATGGCTCTCTCTCCAGAGGAGGCAGGCTGAGGTGGGCACCCAAGTCCTCCCAGGATCTGACAGGGATGGACAGGGAGAGTGCACCCTCTACAGGGGACAACAAGCAAGGAGTGGAGGAGAGCAGATGGGGCTCCTGGGAATGTGAGGTGATTGTTTGTCAGGGACAGAGGGTACCCAACAAAAGGACATAGGTGGGTGAAAGAGCCAGTTGGCGAGCAGCCTTGGGTAACAATTTCAGCCAGGCCAGGGACCCCCGGGGCACTGCCATTTGATTGTGGAAGCTGTGTGACCCTACCATGGAAGAAAGCACTGTGTGGGAACCTTTCCCAAGCCTTCAGCCCCCAACTGACTATCTTATTTATGTGACCACATGTAGGCCACATTCTCAGCAAAGCCAAGGGGGGTGAGCATTTGCCTCCAGCCCTCCTGGCCCCCACCAGGGATGGCCCTAGGCAGGAAGTCTGGAAATCTTTTGGACCAGGCTTTGTTGCTCTGCCTCTGCAGATACTTGGGCATTTCCCCACTCCTGTGGACTCCAGTGCCCCAGTGAAGTGGGGCAAGAACCCCACCTCTGAGGATTGTGACAGGTGCCATTGAGGTGGCAGGTGTGAATGCCTCTTACCAAACAGCCTGGTTTGTGTCCTCAGGATGAGAAGAGGGACTTCAGAAACAAGACTGTAAGGCAGACCTCAGGGTAGGTGAAAAGAGGGGCCCTGAGCATATGGCCTGCCTGGGGGATATCCAGGGCGAGGTGAGCAAGGTTCCACCTTGGGAGCCGTCACCCATCACCACTGGTACTGGCTCTGCTTGGCTTCAAAGTATTCACATTCAAAAAACCCTCTGAGGCTCTGTGCAATTTAGTGATGACTATAACCGCAACTGGGGGTCCTGAGACCCTCCAGTGGGCCAGGCCACACTAGACTTCTGAGAGGTGCTTCCAGCTGTGTGGATGACTGCGAGAGGGTGAATGGGAGGCAGGAGATCAGAGAGGGCAGGAGGGTAATTGTTAGGTGAGGGGCTTCATGGGAAGTGCTTCTGAAAGCGGGAACCCCAGGCACTAACGTGCTTTCAAGCTCAGGTGTGCACGACTTAAAATCGAATCCTGAGACATCTTTTCGGCAAAGTAGGGGTCACACCCAAGTCCAAGTGGTCACAGCAGAAGGGACGGCGTTTGGTAACATAGGGACTTAACCCTCTAAAGGGATCCACAGCGCTCCCACGTGATGTTTTATGTTAATTTAAGCCCCGCCCCCGTCTGCTCCCCCGCGCTGAGTACCCGCGGCCCCGCCTCCTCCAGCAACCTACCGGGACCGAGGGGAGGGACGACGCTACTGTGGTCTGTCGGGCCACAGTAGCGGCCCTGCGGCTCCACCAAGCCTAGGCGAGAGGGCAGCAGCGATGGCCACGACCGGGACGCTGGCAGGTCTGGCCGCGGGTTTGCAGGGCCCACGGGTCGGTCCCAGCCCAGACTCGGACTCAGACACAGACTCGGAGGACCCGAGTACCCGCCGCAGCGCCGGCGGGCTGCATCGCTCACAGGTCATCCACAGCGGTCACTTCATGGTGTCGTCGCCGCACAGCGACAGGCTGACCCGGCGGCGGGACCAGAAGGGGCCCGCGGGGTTCTCCGACTTCGGGCCGCGCAGCATCGACCCCACACTTACTCGCCTCTTCGAGTGCATGAGCCTGGCCTACAGGTGAGGGCGGCTCCTGGGCCCGACGGCTTCGGCCCTCCATGGCGGGACCGCGCGCTGGGGCCCCGGACACCCCACCTGCCCCGAACCTTGGTCCCTGGCTGCTCTCCAAAACTATGGGCACATCCTGGATTCCCCCTCCTCCCGCCCCGAGAGTCCTCTGACCCTGGCCCAGCCTGCTGATCCCCAATGGTCCTGCTCACCTTCTGCTTCCCACACTCACGACCATCACTCTCCCCAGGGCGCAGACCGCCTGCCCTCCACCTTGACCTTCGTAGGCCCACCGGGGACCCCTCCCCCTCCCCATTCCTCTGCCCACAAAGATGCCAAGGCATCCCTCGCGCTCTCAGGACCCTAAACCATCCTGTCACACACACCCCTCGCCCCACCTGGGGGCCACTCTATCTGATCACCTGCAGCCTTCCACACCCTCCCCAGCAGCCCCAGCCCACGCTCACTCTATTGCTCACTCTATTTCTGCACCCTCGCGATATGCCTCTTGCCCAACCGTTATCCCGGTTACCCCAATTCGTTGCCAACCTTCGATTGAAACCCAGTCTCTCATCGTGCACCCCCGCCCCCCACCAACTGCCGGGACACCTGTTTTTGACCAGCCAGGTCGAGGGTGGCAGGAGGAGGATTCTCCAGGCGGACCCAGGGGGACACGTCTTGCAGAGCTTCCCAGCCGTGGCCGGGCAGGAGGTGCTGCAGGCTGTGAGGGGCTGGTGCCCGAAAGGCCTGGGCTCGCATACGCCAGTCACTGCGCGAGGCTGGGAGCCTAAGACCTCCTGGGACTCCAGCTTGGTGCACCGCATAGCGCTGCCACCTGGCTCCAGCTCCACGCCGACGTCCCGGGGGAGGGTGAGAACCTGGGTCCTGGCCCATTGCCCTGGAGCAAAGTTCCCCAGAGCTGAGGGGCCCGGATAAATTATCAACGGAAAACCGCAGGGTATGAAGGGGGATCGGCCGGCCTTGATCTTTTCTCTGCAAATATTCCTTTTCCTCCGCGGCACTCCTCCCCTTCAGAGAACTGTTGTCTACAGACTAGCAATTGCTGCCCAGGAGCCGGAACTGGGGTGGGGATTGTGGGGGGAAGTATTCCCCACCCCCAAAAGCGGCAGCCCAGCCACGACCCCATTGGCTGGAGGCATGTAACCTTGGCCCTCAAGCTCTGGCCCCGGGCCCAGGTCATGTTGCAACCTGACCGTCTGAGGCACCAGACCAATGTGGAAAGTTCAAATTCCCAGCCCCTCCACCCCCTGCCCCACCCCCATCACAGACTGCCGGAGCAGGGCATCTAAGGTCCTGGTACACGGAGAACAGGCACCGCACCTCCCCAGGCTCCCTCAGGACCCCCCCATTCCCCCACCCACTCTGAATTTCAGCTTTTCACTACACACCTCTCTACCTGGGCTGGCTAATGCACGCCCCCACCCCCACCCCAGACCATGGGTGTCCAAAAGGGAAGTTTCAGGGGAGGTGGCAAGGTAGGGGACAGAGCAGATTCCAAGAACTGCTCCCACTGAAAGGCTGAGGGGAAGTGGTGTTATCCCAGTCAGGGGCAGCTGGGATGGAGAGCGCTGTGCTTTCTCCCTAAACACCCAGAATATTCGCTCCCTCTGGCCTGCTCCAGGGATGGAGGTAGCTTAGTACTAGAGGAGACTTTGGGTCCTTCCATTTGACAGAGAAAAAAACTGGGGCTCAGACTGGGACAGTGTTTTATCCCCTTTTAAAAAAAGATTTTATTTATTTATTTTCAGAGAAAGGGAGGGAGAAAGAGAGGGAGAGAAACATCAATGTGTGGTTGCCTCTCATGTGCCCCAAGCTGGGGACCTGCCCAGCAGCCCAGGCATGTGCCCTGACTGGGAATCAAACTGGCAACCCTTTGGTTTACAGGCCAGCGTTCAATCCACTGAGCCACACCAGCCAGGGCTCTGTTTTAGCCCTTAAGGCCCCTAATTATAGGGTTCCCTGGAAGGGAGAGGATTGTGGAAGCAATCTCTAGGGTGCCCCAAGGGAGTGAATGGATGGGATAGGACAGCAAGGCAGAGGTACTGGGCAATAGGGAGACAGCACCCTGACCCTTGTCTAGAGGTACTGGGAGGAACTGGCCAGCTTGACACAGAGGACAGCTTGGGGATGCCTGGCCAGCTTTCTGGATCAAAAGGGCAGTGTGGGCAGAGGAAGGACTTCTCTTCTAGGAGGAACTGCATGTTCCATGGTTCTGTGGGTGGAAGCCCCAGGGAGGCAAGTTCTAGAAGTTCCAAGAACACACTTTTCACCGTCAGAGCTGGCCAGAGCTGGCCAGAGCTATAATCAGAGCTCTGGAAAGAACGGCCTCAGGGAAGTAGGGGAGTCAGAGGACCCTGTCAAGGAGACTCTAAGGGAATTGCTACAAGGTAGAGATGTGTGGGGGTAGGAGGAACTGAACTAGCAGTTCTGGGTTATCCCCCTCCCATCCCCAAGACTCAGATTTTCTACTGGTCAGGAGCAGTCCTTGAACCCTGGCCTCAAGGCTTTTCGCTCCAAGGCTTTTTGCTCCTCTCCTTTCCTCCCAGCCAACAGGTCCAGCACCTTTCCTCCTGGGCTTAGACATTGTCACTGTCTCCATTTCCCCTAGCCCTACCTGGCCACAAACACTATAACCTCAGGAAGAGGAAGGGTAGGCAAAGTGGGGGTGGGGCACTGGGTGATCAGAGTGGGTTGGAAGGTTGCTGGGATACAGGCTGGGGCGATAAACTCAGGAGGCTACCTCCCTCCCCATCAAGTGCTACAAAAGAAACTGGCCCAGGAGAGGTGAGAGTGCCCCTCCCCCACCAACTTCTCCAGACAGATGGTGTTTATCTAACTTAGGAGAGAGGGGGCCAGCCAGCAGGCCTGTGCACTTAAGCTATGTACCCTATTTGGGTAATGAAGCCTGGTGTGCCCCGGAGCCTGGAGACCAAAGAGGAGAGGGGACTCAGTGACCTGTGCACCCAAGGGGCTTTAGGAGTCAGAATACCACCCACCCACCTCTTACCTCCAGGATGAGGGAGAGGCCCCGGGAGACAGCAGGTGTAATGTTCTGCAAGACTAAGCCTTGAGGCCTCAGCCTTCTGTGTGAGTAAGGGTTGGCGAAGGTGGGCCAGAGGGGACTGGTATACAGCCCTGCCTGGTAAACCATGAGGAGGGAGGGACAAGCAGGGGTCTAAGACCCTGAACATCCTAACCTCCTAGGTCAGCTCCCTGGAGGAGGCAGACTTGGCCTGTGCCTAGCAGGACCCTGAGGGTCAAGCCCCTCTCTCTTTTTTTTTTTAAGATTTTATTTATTTATTTTTAGAGAGGGAAGGGAAGGAGATAGAGAGAGAGAGAAACATCAATGTGCAGTTGCTGGGGTCATGGCCTGCGACCCAAGCACGCACCCTGATTGGGAATCGAACCTGCGACACTTTGGTTCACAGCCCGCGCTCAATCCACTGAGCTACACCAGTCAGGGAAGCCCTTCTCTTGTGTAGAGAGCCCTTTTAGCTCATGGATTTGATTGACTGCTAGGGTCAGGGTCAGGGTGCTGTCTCCCTATTGCTCACCACTCCACCATCCTAGCTACCTTCCTTTGGGCCCTAATAGTATTGTCTTGGGCACACCCCTGAGAAGGGACACACCTTCCAGCTCAGTGTAGATTGCCATCCCAGAATTCTGAGCTTGGCAGACACCAGAAGGGCAATGAAAACACAGTGACGGACTGCTTGGAGCTTACCTCGGGTGAAGAGGCCTCCTCTCCACCCAGACAAACCTTGCCCATCCCCTGGACCTGAGGAGGCCAGCAAGACTGGCAAAGAAAAAGCCCAAATGAGTCTCTGCCATGTGATCGTGGGCATGCCCCTTTCCCTTCCTCACCCTCAGTTTCCTTCAGTAAGAACTGTATCTCAGAACCCACCCTAGTTGCCTGTGAGGCCACTGGGTGTTATTGTAACGAGGACTAAGCTAATGAATATTTCCCAGCCACTGCCTTAGTTCTGGTAGTAGATTAACAAGCACATCTCACCAAAGAACACAAGGGCCCCTAGTGGGGACCCGGCAGGGTGTTTTAAAGGCCAGACGGTCAGGGACAGGATTTCAGGCAGGTTAGAACGAGGAGCAAGATTTGAGAAGGTCCCTCAAATTGCCCACCACAGAGAGTGCCCAGTGCACAAGAAGGGTGTAGGGCCAGCCCCTGCAGAAACCCCCTTCAACCTTCCCCTTTCTCTGCCACCCCCCTGACCCAGCCCTCTCCCTCTGACAGTGGTAAGCTGGTGTCTCCCAAGTGGAAGAATTTCAAAGGTCTCAAGCTGCTCTGCCGAGACAAGATCCGCCTCAACAATGCCATCTGGAGGGCCTGGTATATCCAGTGTGAGTGGGCACGTGGGCGTGCCCAGCGGAAGGGCTGCAGTGGGGTGGGGGGATGGAGGGTGGCTGCCCAGGAATCCCCAGCTAGCACCAACAGAGTGCTTTGGGGGAGACCAAGCCTCCAGCATCAGCACCCAGAAGGCTTCTGACCCCCAGAAAGTCTTGGGGAATGTGTCTCTAAGAGTGGTCTCACTCTTGGGAGTCCTACAGTGGGCGGAGATTTGGTGGGCAGTTCAAGGCTCATTCTGCATCCCATTGGTGTTAGAAAGAGGTGTTAGACACTATGTGGGTCAATCCCATCACTTTGCAAATGGGGAAACTGAGGACCCTGCGTGGGTCTCTTCCAGCCTTTCATTAAAGTACTTACTGAACCCCCACCAAGTGCCCCCAGTGGAATTTCGCAGGAGGGAGCCCGGAGAGGCCATGCGGTAGAGTGGAAGGGACTCCAGGCTCGGAGTACGCAGAGCTGGTTTCCCACCCTGTTTCTGCCCCTTGCTGGCTGTGCAATGGCAGGCAAGTTGTCTAACCTCTCTAAACCTATTTCCTCAACTATAGATGAGGCCAATAGTCCTACTTTTCAGGACTGATGTGGAAATAACGGGTATGAATAGGTTGGCGCAAAGTGCTCAGTGAATGACAGTTGAATCTGAGGTACCCTTGAGAAAGTCATGGTCATTGATTTGGGGACACAAGACCTCCCCACCTTACCCCCTGGCAAGGCAGCAGAGGCTGAGAGGCGTCAGACTAGCTGGCCCTGTGTAGGGACCTTGTCAAGCTCAGTTAGGTCCTGCCATGATCAAAGGCTACCCGGAAACAGATGGTCGGGGGACCACACACGGTGTTCTCTGCATTGGCCCCACTAGATTACACCTAGGCAGAGAGACGGAGTGTTTTTGGTTTCTATTCACTTATGTGTCTAGCACTTTCATAAATCATCTTACTTGAGGCTTCCTAGCAACCTTGGGAAATAGGTATTATTACCCTCATTTTATACATGAGCAAGTGAGACCCAGAAGGCAAGTGACTTGCTTAGGGCCACAGAGCATAAAAGGAGCAGAGCTGTGGCTGGAAAGTCCTGGGCTCTCCAACTCTGGACCCAGTGCTCCTTTCACTGAACCCTGCTGGCTGGCTCCTGGTCCTCATCTGGGAACTGGCCTGCCGGAGCAGGGAAGCTGGTGGGCTGGGGGAGTCAGTGTCAATGTCTGTCTCCTCCTCCCTACATAGCTGGTCAGGATGCAAACCCAGGGCGCTCACCCAAGACAGACCTCGGTCTCCAGCTATTGTGCAAGCTGCTGGAAGGACCCCAGGTTCTGAGTCAGGCAAAGATGGGTTTGAGTCAAATTCTAGTATGCCCTGGCTATGTGGACTTCCAGGCTCCCCTAGCCAAAGCTTGTTCATCGGTACATTGGGCACAATAATAGGTCCCACTGCTGAGGTCTACTGTGAGTTTTCAGTGTGATCCCATCTCCGCACCAGGCAGACACACACAAGGGCTCGCTGAGGGTGGGCCCTGGGGTCTGTCACTGCTATTGTGATAACACCAAGAGCATGGGCAAGCAGAGAACAAATGTCGGCTCCTCCTCCCTGAGCACCCAAGGTTTGGATGTGAGCTTCAGAAAGGGGGCGTGGGGGAGAAGAGAAAGAGGGGTGGTGACTGCTGGAGGGCCACCTGGCTCATCCCCACCTCACCCCCCACCTGCCACTCTTCTGCAGGCTCCTGGCCTCCAGAACTCCCTTTTTCCCCCAGATCAGCTCAATTTCCTCTGATTGCCCGAGCACTGTGCCCCTTTCATGGGCAGGCTCTCCTCCTGATACTAGCACTTGTCGTGTGTGTGTTTTCCTCATTTTGACCCAGAGTCATCCGTGGATTCTGTCCCAGCGTCTACCCCAGGGTAGGTGCGAGGGGCTAGGTTGCTGCATGAATGGATGGATTTCTCATGGTTAAATAAAGCCTGCCCTTTTGTGGAGAGCACAGTGCCCCTGGGTGGGGGAAGGGCAAGTTGGCCAGGCCCCTGGGCAGACTTACTCTTTCCCTGTGCTCATTTCCTCATCTGGAAAGCCAGGCAGATGCTCTTTGAGACCCTTAACCCTGCAGGAGTCCACGCACCTAAGGGCCTATCTTTTTGTTTTCAGTCCAAGCTGGGCTCAGCAACCCTCCCCCGTCTCACAGGGATCATTTTGGAGAATGACGTGTAGGGCAGAACTTTGGAAATGATGTTGGAGTCCCAAGAAATGTCATGTTTGGGTAGTCCTGCTCCTCTGTGTCAGTTGTCCCAGAGGAAGTCTGCTGAGGGCTCAGCAGGATGGGCCCCCATGGGCACCCCTGAAGTCCTTTTTGTCAAGACTGCCAGAAAAAGTCACTGCCCAGGGCTTTGAAGACCTGCTGTGTGCCAAGCTCTGTGCCTAGGCAGGGATTCTGGGCAACAGGGCACAATTCCCACTTTCACTCCCTGTGGGGAGGCCAGCATGCAGAAAAATGGTCAAGGCAGGTGGAGATAGAGGCAGACGTGACCAGGGGGTTTCAGAGGAGGGAAGGCTTCTGGAAGAGAAGCTGCTCTGGGCTCTCTTGGCAGGTTGGCAGGTGAGCACGAGGCAGAAAAAAACGAGAGGGTGGGATGTGTGGGGGAGCTGTTGGCTTCGGGGTGGGTCGTATGGAGGAGACGGAAAGGCAGGAGAAGCATGGGACTAGTCGTGGAGGGATGGAAAGCCAGGCTCGAGGATGCGGGCTTTGTGGTGGAGGTTTAGGGAGCCCTGGAGGGATTCCAGCCTGAACTGTGCTGTAGGAAGAAATGACCTGGCTGCAGCGGGAAGGTAGGTGGGCTGGAGAGTGTGAAGCTGGGGTCAGAGAGGTCAAGGTGAGAAATGACTCCAGACTAGGAAATGACAGTGAGAATACAAAGGGGAGGGGACACTGGAAGAAAGGTCATACATCCTTGGGGTTAAGATGGTTAGTCCGAGGATTAGACAGGAATCTGGGAATCAGTGGGAGTTTTAGTGCCTGGGAGGCAGTGCTAGCAGCCCAAAGGAGGTGCCAGCTGGGGAGGGAATTTCCCAAGCACCCGAGAGTGGCAAGTTTTGGGACATCCTAGTGGAGGGTCCATAGGCAACTGGGAAGTGGGTCTGAAGCTGGAAAGGGGCAGGGTGAGAGTGGGTGGGGGATAGGCGTGGGGACAGGTGCTGAGTGACAGGAGGTGAAGATGAGATTGGGAGGTGTACAGGTGGAGGTGGCAAGTGACAACCCTTCTGGAGTTTGGAAGGAAAGCCAAGGGCAGAGCAAAAGGGTTAGCTTGTTGGGTAGCATAGGGAAGGGGTAGTTTTGGGAGGTAAAGGAAAACCTGGAATGTGTATACAGGCACAAAGGAAAGAGCCTGGAGAGAGATCAGGATTAGAGACAGGGAAGGGAGTAGAGGAGGTGGAAAAAGCACTCAGGTAGGTGGCCTGGAGTGGACAAGGCATGGTTCTCTGACATCAGAATGGGCAGTGCCAAGAAGCCTGAGGCAGAGGACCAAGGGCTCCAGGCCATTGGCCTGCCAGCCTAACCAGGATGTTCTTGGGGCTGCTCACTCCCTGTGGTCCTGATCCCATTCAGCAAGCATTGCTTTCACAACTATTAGACTGGGTTACTTTCACAGGGTTGCACAGAAGAGGAAGATTTGATAGCACTAGAGAAGGTGGGAAGACTTCCTGGAGGAGGTGGCACTTAATCTGAGCATTGAAGGCCAGGCAGAATTCCATAGGGTGACACAAGTTCCAGTTCCCTTGGGGTGAAAGAAGAGGGACCTAGGCACTCCTGACCTGGCCCCCTTCTTTCAGATGTGGAGAAGAGGAAGAGCCCTGTGTGTGGCTTCGTGACCCCCCTGCAGGGGCCTGAGGCTGATGAGCACCGGAAACCGGAGGTAGCTGAGACTCAGGGAACCACCGTCCACCTGCCTCCCCACCAAACCCGACCCCTCGCTCCAGTCTCGCTCCGCAATGAGCTGGAGGGCCCGGCCCAGATTGGGACTGAGTGAGGGGTGAAGTCAGTGCTACCCTTCGCACTGAGCCTCCTCCCCGCCTTCCGCAGGCTGTAGTCCTGGAAGGAAATTACTGGAAGCGGCGCATCGAGGTGGTGATGCGCGAGTACCACAAGTGGCGCATCTACTACAAGAAACGGGTCAGTGGGGGCCCCAGGGAACGCCCCAGACCATTCTCCCTGCCGGTGCTTGGCTCTTTGAAGACCCGTAGAGGAGCTTTCCCAACCTCCGACTCCGCCCTCCTTTAAGACCCAGGCTGACTGCGCCACCGTGTGGCTATTCGCACAGTCCCCTTACTTCCCAGGGCGGAGGAGCTCCTTAAGGGAAGTGGGAGATCCTGTTGATTTGGGGGAGCTTGTGAGTAGGGGAGACCTTGGAGGGGCATGATAGAGGAGGGGCAAAGAATCCAGTGTTCACGTCTCTGTGTTCCTGCAGCTCCGTAAGTCCAGCAAGGAAGGGGATCTCCTGGCCCCAAAGCAGGTGAGTGCTCCCTGGAGCCAGAAAATGGACAGCTTCCCTCTGCGAGCGAAGCAGTGGTGAAGGGGGCAGGATGTGAAGGCGGGGCACGAGGGGAGTGGGCATGGCCCCCATCCTCTGGTTTATTAATTGAGCCCTTCTCCCCTTGGAGCAGTGGTGGGAAGACCCTAAGCCTTTTGCTTGACTGAGCAAGTGGTGGGGAGTCAAGGAGGAATAAAGGGTCCTAAAAACTAGGGCCCCTGGCAGGAAAAAGTATAGAAGGCAAGAGGAGTGCTTGTATCTCCTCAGTACCCCTCCTGGTCTACCTCCTGTGAGTAGTTGTGAGAGGCCAACGGGGTGACCCTAGCCTTCCAGGCAGCAGACTGCGTCTACCAGAGAGCGGCGGGGAGGGACTGCAAAGGGAGGCCCTCTGGCAGGTTGCCACTTCATCCCCCAGGCAGGGGGTGATATGGAAGGGCCAGGGCAGTGGGCCACTCCTGTGCCCCCAGTCTGAGGAGAAGCAGGAGCAGCGGAACCCTCGGGCTGCCACTGCCGCCTCTGTCTCCCTAGACGGAGGGGGAGTGGCAGCCACCGGAGCGATGGTGTGAGCAGCTCTTCTCCAGCGTGGTGCCCGTGCTGCTGGGGGGACCGGCGGAGGAGCCTGGCGGGCGGCAGCTGCTGGATCTCGGTTCCTTTTTGTCCGACATCTCCGACACGCTCTTCACCATGACCCAGCCCAGCTCCACGCCCCTGCAGCTGCCGCCCGAGGACGGTGAGGCCTGTGCCCAGCAAAGGAGGCCTGTGAGAATCAGGCAGCGAAGGGAGGGTGGCCCGGGACAGGGACACCCATTCCACCTTCCTACTGCTCCTGACGTCACTGCTGCCCCCTCCAGCTTACGTTGGCAATGCTGACATGATCCAGCCGGAACTGACACCTCTGCAGCCCAGCCTGGATGACTTCATGGAGATCTCAGGTGGGGCAGGCCCCGCCCCTGGGGTGGACGGGCAGGGTCAGTGTGAGGAGAGCCCCATGTTGACCTCAGGCCAGCTCCGCGGAAGAGCGGATGGTCTGGGTGACTTCTGGGGGATTTCCCTGACGTCCCTTTGTATGGCCTTGGGATGAAGTTGGTGTGGCCTCCGGTGAGAGCAGGGCCAGGCCCAGTAGCTGGGCCGGGGATGGGGGACCAGAGTCATCGAAGCTTTAGACTCTGGGAGCTCCCAGGAAAGCAGCGGATGCTGGCACTCTCTAAGGGGGCAGAGGGACTGTGATTTGTTTGCATTTATTTACTTATAGAATTCATTTTAAAACTTTATTAAATAACACTTCAAACATACAACGAGAGAGAGAGTTCAACGAACCCTCACGTACTGTACCCATGGTGATGTACCCATCACCAACTTCAATATTTATCAACTCTTGGCCAGTCTTGTTCTATCTAGACACCACCCATTTCTCCTCTCCTATTTTATTTTTAAGAAAATCCCAGGAATTATATCTAGTAAAGCATTTTTAGTATGTTTCCCTACCTCTCTCTCCTGACCGCAGGGCCACCAGGTCACAGGAGTAAGTCCTTCCAGAGATGCTCATGTCTGTGTAAAATGAGCACATGTGGACAAATGTCTATTGTGGTTTTTTTTCTACGGTAGACGTCCCCACGTTGCTTTATTCACATAGCTGTAGATCTTGAAGACTGCCCCTGATATTCACAGACTTAGGGGACTTCATAGCCATTCTAGGGATCAGGTAGACATCGAGGCTCAGCCAAGGCAGAGGGGCAGAAAAGGGTTCCTGGGATAAAGGCTTAGTTTCCGTGACCCATGCACTCCTTCCCCACAGGGTCCTGGCCCTGTCATTCAAGAGGTGGAGGCCTATGGGGCGGGGACTAGGGAATGAGGAACCACCCCCACCCCTGTCTCAGCCCTGGACAGGGGTGGGGGCTGAGGGGGCAGAAGTGTTGATGGCAGTGCCCTGGGAGCAGACCAGCCTGGGAGGGCCGAGGCCCTGCCTGGGCACACAGAACCCTGCCACAGGTAGGAGCTCAACCACCCCCACTCCGGGATCTGGGCAAAACCTGGGGCTAGGAAGTGACTTCTCTCAGACCAGGGTGACTGCTGGGGTGGGGGTCAAGTGTGGGCAACCTGTTGTAGGGGGTGGCATGCAGAAGAGATGGTTAGTGTGGTCCCTGTAGTGCTCCATGCACTTGGAGGGCAGGGAGCACTAGAGCTACTTGGGCTGCCTCTTTGATTTTCCCTAAGAGCTCCTCACTTGAAAGGAAACCCAGTGAGGGGGCTGGAGAGGGCAGGGTTCAGTGAGAGCTAAGGGGCTTGGTGAGGGGTGCTCAAAGAAGGGGAGGGAGCCTGGGTAAGAGAAGGGCTCCGGGAGAGGATGGCAGGTCGGTGGAGGGAACAGAGACTAGGAGAGACTCAGTGGGTGGCTACGGCTAGAAAGCAGCGTCTCTCAAGACCGGGTGGAGACATGTCCACAGTCTCAGATAAGGGGACAGTGGTGACTCAGTGATGAGCTGGACTGGCTGCTCCATAAGGCCTGCCAAGCCCTGGGAGACAGCAATAGCAGTGCACAGGGAGCTGCTCTGTGGCCCTCAGCATCCTGGGACCAGACCCAGGATGAGGCTGTTTCCAGAGCCCAGGCTTCAAGGGGCCTCGTGAGGAGACCCACGGTCCCTAGGGGCTGGAGAATGAAGGCTCAGTAACTGCTCACCCTCTGCCACCCAGTCCCTTTATTAAAAAGAGGCAGCAGGACAGCAAGAAGATCCCTTGTGACTGTGTGGCTGAAAAAACACACACAGGCGTGGGCACAGGGCAGGTATGCACTCGCCCAGCAGCTCACATCAGGGCAGGTGAACACAGACCTAGAGCCACAGACAGTGGGACAGACAGGGAGACAGACAGACGGACGCTGCTAGAGACCACACACTGACAGGCAGAGTTGGCTGCCCAGTGACATGTGAGCCTCAGAGTCACATAAGATGCACACGTAGGTATGACCCCCGTCAGGCTCAAGGTTTGGTGTGGTCTTTTCTGTCCCACTCCTGGGTCTCCTTCGAGGGGGCCCTCCAGGGAGAGGCCTCACCAGCTCCATTGGCTGGAGGTCTGGGGCCCATCAAGGCTCATTGGTTTGGGTCTGACCAGACTAGGAGGCCTTGGGAGCTGGTACAGACTGAAGGCTGGTCAGGGTCAGAGAAAGGTGCCCGGAAGGGAGCGGGCGGGCGGGTGGCGCCCAGGCCCGGGATGTGGTCAGGCCACGGGCAGCTGCTTCCCAAAACCAGAATAGCCCGGGGTTTACACAATCTGTACCTCAAACAAGCTGGCTGCCTCCTCCCCACCAACTCTTCCCAGCTTTCCAGAAGCCCCTCGCTCCAGCCTCACTCTGAGCCCATCCTCTGACCCCTGCTATGATCCCCTTAGCCCCTTCACCCCACTCCTGGATTCTACCACTGAGGCCCTGCTTGTTGGCCTTCCTGCAAACCACCTTGTCCCACAGACGCACTGACCGCCTGACCCCTCTCACCCCTAACTCACCTCCTGAACTCTTGTCACCCTGGGGCTCCTCCCTTGGACCTCACCCCTTTCCCTCTCTGGCATACTCTATTACCCTCCCCCACTTCTAGGTCCCCAGCAGGGCTGGTGACAGCAGTAGACAAGGGGAGGGCCCAGGCCTGGGGATGGGAATGGGGGACCTCGTGAGCCAAGTGTGGGGCTCAGTGGGGGGGCTACTTCTAGAGTCCTACCCACACCCCTACACAGTCCCCTGCTGTCTCCCACCCAGGCCCATCCCACCCGAGCCCATGTCGCTGCTTCCCCTGAGTGAGACAGAAACTCCCAGTTTCACAATCTTCTGTGGAAGCCCCCCCTCCCCAACCCAGCCTGGGGACAGGGCATGAGGCCCGCTCTCCTCCCACAGCTTCCAGCCATGGCCTTCGCCCTAACTGCTGCCACTCTGTATGTCTGAATTACAGATTTCTTCACCAGCTACCGCCCCCCACAGACAGCCACGCCTTCAAACTTCCTGGAGCCCCCCAGCTTCAGTCCCACGGCTGACTCCCTTTTCAACAGTGGGATCCTGGGCTCAGAGGTGCTCCCTGCCTCCTCGGGCGTGACCCACCTCTCAGAGCATCACCACCTGCAGGTGAACTCCCCCCACCCCACCCACCTCACCTGTCCATTTCCAGGAGGTATTCTGGGTACTTTCTGGGTGCCCAGTCCTGTGCTTGCTTGGCCCACCGAGTGAGACCGGAGGGGGAGAAAGACCCCTGAAGGATGAGAGTCATCTGGGGAGGAAAGACCCTCATGAAGCAGAACTCACAAGATGGCTACGGGGGAGTTAGGCTGAGGGCAGGTAGAACAGGGAGCAGCACTGCCAAGGACTGGGCTGCTTGTAGAATGCTTCCTGGAGGAGGGGGAGTTCTGGGCTTTAGTGTACAGGTCGGGTTTGGACCGAAGGGACCAGTAGAGACCCAGTCAGGTGAGAGAAGCTCAGACGAGTGCATGGAGCCAGCAAACTGAGCGTGTGTGTTTAGAAAACACCAAATCTACCATTTTAGCTCAAGAACTCCCAGACCCAATTCGGACATTGTCTCCCTGCTGCTGGGCTAGGTGCTTTTCCCTCCACCAGCAGACTTTTCAGGCACTATTGCAGTTATTGTTGAGGGGTCTCTCTGCTGGAGTAGAAAGTGAGCTCCTTGCTGGAAGGGCTATGTTTTGCTCACCGCTGCGTCTTCCATACTTAGCACTGTTCAAACACACCAACAGCACTGGGTAAATGATTGCCCCATGACTGAGCAAGTGAATGAATGAATGAGTGGATGGATAGATGGGTATGCTGGTGGATGGACAGATGAGTTGTAGATGGGGCTAGATGCTTAAGTGAGTTGATGTATATACAGGTGGGTGAGTGCCTGGCTGGCTGGATGAATGGGCTGATGAATGAATTTGTAGATGAATGAGTAGTTTGGTGGATCAACAAATGGGCTAGTGGGTGGATAAGCGGCTGGTGAATGTATGGTGGATAAATGAAGGAAGTACAGATAACTGGATGGGTTGGTGAATGGGTTAGTACTTGGTGGACTGGTAGAAAAATGGATGAACTAGCTCACAGGTGAGAGAATAAACAGATATGTGGATGGATGGATGGATGGACGGATGGATGGATGGATTAATTCCTTGGTGAATAAAAGAGTGTGCAGGAAGATTAATACTCTTTCTCATGACTAATTTGTGCATCAGTGTGCTCCACTGTCTCCCCTTATTAGATTATAATTTTCCTGGTGTGTGTGCTGAAGGGCAGGGACTGTTTCTCTTATCTCCCCCAGTGCCCAGTCCAGAGCTCAGCCAGGGCAGGGGGCTGCCTGGGTGGCTATAAAGGCAAGTTTTCTCCCCTGCTCTCTGTTCCCTCAACCAGGCTTGGAGCAGCTGCCCTGGCTCCCTGGACTCCAGTGCCTTCCTGAGCTCTGATTTCCTCCTTTCTGAAGACCCCAAGCCTAAGTTCCCACCCCATCCCCCACCCCCACCCCTCCTCCAGTACCCTGCCCCTGCTAAAGGGCCTGGCCTTGAGCCCTGTGCCCTCCCCCTCTTCCCTTCCATGGCTCTGCCCCCTGCTGTGCTGCAAGAAGAAACTCTCTTCCCTCCCAGATCCTCCTTCCCTACTGTTCCCCCTGTATCAGGAGTGCCCCCACTGCCTGCTCCCACGACATTCCCTTCCACCCGACAGTCTGGCCCAGGCCTTGCCCCCGCCGCCTTCCCCATGGACCTTCTATCCCCCGAGTATCCAGAGTCCCCATTTGGGCCTCACTTCACAGTGCCCCAAGATGTGCAACCCAGAGGCAAGCCGCCCACCCCACCTCCTAGGGGGCGGAAGCCCAGCCCTCCTACCTTGGCCCCTGGCACTGCTGGGGGCAACAGCTCCTGCCTCACACAGCTGCTCACAGCAGGTGAGCTAAGAGGGGCAGGGCTGACAGAGGGAGAGATGGGAAGCAAATGCGGAAGTGGGAAGCCTATGGGTGCAGAGGGTAAAGGTTAAGGGGCAGGCTCAGCTGGGGGGCAGGGTGGTGAGGAATTTAGGAATTCCTAAATTCCTCACCACCTCGGGTCCTGAACCCGGAACGGGATGTGGGCTACTAGGAGTGGAGAGATGGGATCTTGGGAGATGACCCCAGAGGCCCTCACAGTCTGCCTGTGCACAGCCAAGCCTGAGCAAGCCCTGAAGCCACCTCTTGTATCCGGCGCCCTCCTGCGGCTCCCAGAATCCCCGGTAAGATGGTGTGCAATGGGAGTGGGGGGTAGCCTCAGAGCTTCACCCCAACTCTCCACCCTTCTCCACCCCAGCAGGAGACGGTCCCTGAATTCCCCTGCACCTTCTTTCCCCTGACTCCGGCCCCCACACCACCCCGGCCACCTCTGGGCCAAGCCACACTGGCCCCTCCCAGGCCCCTGGTTGTCCCCAAAGTAGAGCGGCTGTCACCCCCAGCACCCATCGGTAAAGAGGGGTTGCAGGGATTGGAGGACACTAGAGGTTGGAGGGAGGGGAAAGAAGAGGGGGGTTGATGTCTGGGGCCAGGATGAGAGGGACAGGTCAATGGGACCCTCTCCCCTATGTTGGTCTGTCTGTGGGTCTGTCTGTCTGCCACAGGTAGCGAGCGGCGAGTGTCTGGGGAGCTCGACCCCACCCTGGGCCCAGGGACTCCGAGAGTCCAAGTCTCTACTTCTCAATCCGTCCTGAGCAGGGGTCGTCCAGAAAACAAGGTGGCACTATCCCAGCACCCTGATATCTCTTTGCTACCCCTAAGCACTCCCACACTCCTTCCTAGGCTCACCCCACTTTCTACACCCCCAAGACTGAGAACCGGCGCATCACACACATCTCTGCGGAACAGAAGCGGCGCTTCAATATCAAGTTGGGGTTTGACACCCTGCATGGGCTGGTGAGCACGCTCAGCACCCAGCCCAGCCTCAAGGTGAGCCCCCAACCCAGGCTGGCACCCCCAAAGCCACAGGGCCCTTCTTGGACCCTCTACCTAAGACTAAATCCCAGGACCCGCCAGATACCCAGTGCCTCTTCCCACCCCTGAGTGTCTCAGTGGGTCCCAGCACCTGAGCCCACACTGGCAATGCCCACAGGTCAGCAAAGCCACGACCCTGCAGAAGACAGCTGAGTACATCACCATGCTGCAGCAGGAGCGGGCAGCCTTGCAGGAGGAGGCCCAGCAGCTACGGGACCAGATTGAGGAGCTCAATGCTGCCATTAAGTAGGCAGGGACCTGCAGGTGCTGGGGCAAGGGAGGCCTCTTGCCTGACTCAACCCCTGACCCTCCCATGTCCCCAGCCTGTGCCAGCAGCAGCTGCCGGCTACTGGGGTGCCCATCACACACCAGCGTTTTGACCAGATGCGAGACATGTTTGATGATTATGTCCGGACCCGGACACTGCAAAACTGGAAGTTCTGGGTAGTATCCTCACTTGGCCAGCGGCAGGGTGAGTGCTGCAGCCAGACCGGCTTGTGCCTGGCTGCAGGCTCAGTTTCACAGGCCAGGCAGGGTTTCAGAGCTGCTCTCAGGGGAAGGGACTCCAGTTCTACTCGCTCCTTCCAGGCCTCAGTATCTTGGCCAGAAGTGTTGCCAGTGATGGGCTGGACACAGAGGGAAACTGAGAAAGGGGCCTCTGGGTAGGGGAACCATAGCCTCACCTACAGAAAATCCCAGGGGCAGTTTGGGACCTAAACTGTAAGTGGCATGTGTGGGCTGGGCCCTGGGGAAGACATGGGATCACTCACCCCCTCACCTGGTCAAGCTCTGGACTGAGCCGTGGCAGGAAGCCCAGGGATGGGGGATGGCCCAGCTCAGAAGGGCGTGGAGGAGCTGGGGGAGGGGGCTGAGTGCCGCAGGATTGGAGGGAGGGTGGCTGCAGTGGGGGTCCTTGGAGTTGAAGGTTTCACAGTCGCCAGGCCTTTTCCCTGGTTGGGCCAGATGCCAGGGTTACATGTGAGGTGGGTGAGAATACTGGCTGGTCAACAGTCCTGCTCCTTGACCTGGGCCAGTTCAGCATCCTCATCCGGCCTCTGTTTGAATCCTTCAATGGAATGGTGTCCACGGCAAGTTTGCAAAGCCTTCGTCAGACCTCGTTGGCCTGGCTGGATCAACACTGCTCCCTGCCTGCTCTCCGGCCAAGTACGTGAGCCAGCTGCCTGCCCAGCGGGATGTCTAGGGCTCAGGGCAGAGGGTTGCAATCTGCTCAGACTCCAGGTTCAGCCTGCCTTCAAAATAGCCTCGGGTACTGGCCATCCCACCATGCTCCAGGATACCTACAGACAGCCATGCGAACTAGCATCTCTCCCTACCCCTTTGTCTTTAGCATCCAAGGGCAGGGCCCTGACCCCAAGAGGTATCTCTCTCTCTCTTTTCTTAGCTGTCCTGAACTCCCTCCGCCAGCTGAGCACATCTACCAGCATCCTGACGGACCCAGGCTGTATAGCTGAGCAAGCCACGCGGGCGGTTACAGAGGGCACCCCTGGCAAACCGCTATAGTGCTGACCAGACCCCGCCTTCACTCAGCTGCCTTGGGACTATGTTCCTTGTGCATAGGTTCTCCCTCCTGCCCCAGGCCCTGGCTGTCCTGTTTCCTGAGAGTGAAGCAGGACCCTAGCCTCTGCCCTTCCTCCTGGAAGCTGGGAAGAACTGAGTTCCAGTCTCTGCTCTGCCAGTAACTCACACTGTGACCTAGGGTACTCATGGTCCCTCTTTGCACCTCCATTTTCCAGTATGCAAAAATGGGGTGGGGAAGCTTCAGCCAGAAGATGATCCTAAGACCTCAGCAGCTGTGACACTTGGGGGTCTAAACTGGCAACTCAGGGAGCTTGAAGGAGGGAACAGGACAATCCTGTTTCCCTGTCACTCCTGCCTATTCCCCAACAGGGAGGGCGCAGGACTCTGTTTCTGAACAGAGTAACAAGAGAGGAGGTTCCACCTCTCTGTTCCTTCACTGGTAACCTGGGGGGCTGCAGGCCTGGGTAGAGGAAGCCAAGTTATGATCCCAGGAGGACACACAGCAGGGGGGTGGCCAAACCAAAGCAGGCATCTTGTATGTGTGTATGGATGCATGTGTGCGGGTTTTGTAAAGAATTCTTGACCAATAAAAATTAAAACTGTCGGGGACTGTCAGCGTATCTTACTCTGGGATGGAGAGTCGCTTGGCAGTGGGCGGTGGCCTTGAAAGGACCTTAGCTTTTCCTCTGAGCTGGGAAGCCACTGGAGGGTTTTGACTAGAGGTGGGACAAGATCAGATGTTAACTTGTGAACAGGATCCCTCTGGGTGCTGAGTTAAGAACAGGCCGCTGTGGGGCAATGGTGGGAGCAGGGCAGCCAGATTTAGACTGTTGCTGTCATCCAAGCGAGTGATGACACACATCCTGGAAATCCTCCCTCCGTGGCCAGGAGAGGGTTCAGAGAAGCTCACCACTTTCCACATTGGAAGAGGGCAGAGCTAGTGAACCAAGGAGCAAAAGTGCAGGGCCATTCGTCGGAACCACCCAGGAGAACGTGGTGCTGCAGGGGGTAGTGACGTCCCCACTGTGCAAAACGTGCAAGCAGACCGGGTGGCCGCTTGGTTGGGTTGTCTCAAAAGGAACTGATACTTCAGATGGAGTTGAGGTAAAATACTTCATTGATCCTTTCATTGATCCATTTAGCAAATACTCCCTGAGTGCCGACTATGAACCAGGCGATTGTCTTGGCTCTTGGGATTCTGTTCACAGCTGCACCCCTCTCCTCGCAGAGCTGGCAAGTCTGAGGCCTCTCACTTCTGGAAGCACTTGCAGGATATAAACACAGTCTTCCGTGAGCTTTGTCCTTTCCTCATTCGTGTAGAATAATAACAATAACTGTGCATCGATCCAGTGTTTACTACTGCCAGGCACTATTCTAAGTGCTTTATGTATATTAACTCGCTTAATCCCTACAATACATACCTTTACAGGCCTTTTGTGAGGATTTCAAAGCAAATATAAGCCCTGGCCTGACAGCCCAGTTAGAGCATCGTCCCAATACACCAAGGTTGAGGGTTTGATCCCCAGTCAGGGCACATACAAGAATCAACCAGTGAATGCATAAGTAAGTGGAACAACAAATCTCTCTCTCTCCCCTTCCCTCTGTCTCTTCCTCTTTCCCTTCCTCTCTCTAAAATTAATTAAAAAATTATTTAAAGTCCTGGCTGGTGTGGCTCAGTGGATTGAGTGCTGGCCTGCGAAACAAAAGGTTGCTGGTTTGATTCCCAGTCAGGGTACATGCCTGTGTTGCAGGCCATATCCCCAGTATGGGGTGTGCTAGAGGCAACCACACACTGATGTTTCTCTCCCTCTCTTTCTCCCTCCCTTCCCCACTGTCTAAAAATAAATAAAGAAAATCTTTTTAAAAAGTTATTTTTAAAGAGTAAATATAGGGTCCAGCACAAATAACACCCCCCTTTTTTTTTTACAAAATCATAAGCATGTATTTCTGTAACATAACAATATCACACTCAAGCACACCATATGACATTTTAGGTGAAATGTTCAAGTTAAAACTATAAATTATTACACCCATATTATTACCCTACCAACCACACTTACGCAGGCCTTAACTGCTGCTGGTCCCTGTATATATGAAGCACAACAGTGCCGAGCAAAGAACACTACATATGTCAGGGTTATCATTATTTTTCTTAAAGATTTTATTTATTTATATTTAGACAAAGAGGAAGGGAGGAAGAGAGGGAGGGAAACATCAATGTGTGGTTGCTTCTCACACACCCCTCCCTGACTGGGGATCTGGCCCACAACACAGGCATGTGCCCTGACTGGGAATCGAACCAGTGATCCTTTTGTTCACAGGCCAGAACTCAATCCACTGAGCCACATCAGCCAGGGAAGGGTTATCATTATTATCATCCCCATTTTACAGATGAAAAATTGAGGCACAGAGAGGTTAACTAGCCTCAGGTTGTATGCTTCACGAGGTGCTCACCCAGAGTGTCTGACTCTAGTCTCTGCTTTAGCCACTTCTCTTTGCTGTGCGATGACAGGTGCACCCAGCCTGTAAATGCTATTCGCTGCTGCGGACCACAGTTTGAAGTGGCTCCTTGAAAGGTAAAATCCTGGCAGTTTGCACTATGTTGTTTTCACCCACTCATAACCCACCAGGAAGATCTCCATAAGACACCCCCTTGATTCTGTGTTCCCTTCTAGATGCCACCCTCCTTTAAGAGAGAGTTGTCTGCTCTCCCTTCTCCCCTCCCACTTACCCCCAGCTGCCTGCCTTTGGGCCCCTCCTCCCACCTTCCACCCCAGCCTCACTCCTGCACTGGCTCCTTCAGCCAGGCCCCTTGACTCCCTCATGGCCAAACCCAATGACCACTCTGCATGCCCTTCTTGTCTTTCCCTGGGCCCTCGGACCATCTTCCTGAACCCCTCTTTTGAATCCAAAATTTTTGCCAGCCTCTCCTTCCTCTCGCCTGACAGTGCCTTCCTGCTGCCAGAGCTGCCTCCCCCTCCCACCCCTTTCCCTGGCCCTTTTCCTTCTCACTCTGAAAAGTTCCAGGTGATGCCATACCTTCTGCTTCTCTCCTGAGAACCCCCCACCCTTTATCTGTCTTGCTGTTCCCCCAGAGCTACATAAACACATATTTGATTGCTACCCTGACCCCTCCCTCTGAAAGTTCCACAGCTCCCTTAACGTTGAAGGCGCCAAAACAGAACTCATCATTCCTGAGATTGTGCCTCATGGTCTTCCCCCTCAAGTTTGGTCCTCTCCATGTGCTCTACATCCCCAGGAAAGGTGCCACCATTCAGACGCTTGAGCAAACTGCTTCCATCCTTGGCTCCTCCTCCCCACTCCCCACTACTTTATGGTATCTCTTACCAAGGCCTGGCCAGTTGATGTGGTAAGCATCCATCTCCACGGCCACCACCCTGGTCCAACAGAACATCACCTTTTGCATGAGCCTACTTCCTGTGTCCTTTACAGCTGCTTTTCAAACATAAATGTGCATTTAAATAATTGGGGGAGGGGGACTTTTAAAAATCTTCATGACCAGGTCCAGTGTGAACTAAAATCAGAATCTCTGGCTATGGGACTTAAGACATCAGCACCTTTTAAGGTGATTCCAATATGCAGCCAAGGTAAGAACCACTGTAATAGAGGCTTTGAGCTACAAATTACATATGTCTGGGGCCCAAGTTAGTTTACTCTGGTTCTGAAACTTTAATATGCATCAGAAATCACTCAGCAAGCTTATTAAAATACAGATTGCCAGGCCCCCACCTCCAGAGTTTCTGAGTCAGCAAGTCTGGGACAGAGTGTAAGAATTTGCATTTCTAATAATGCTGTGTCTGGAGCCCCAACTTTGAAATTATTGCTTAAACCATGAGGAAATTGATCATTTCACCTAACACAGGCCAGAGGGAGGGAAAGCTCCAATCGCTTCTTTGGCTCCTACACCCCTCTGATGAGTCCAGGGGCTTTTTGAACAGATGTTCCAGGAGCTTTGTAACTGGGCCGTGCTACCCCTGCAGCCTCGTTTCTTTCCACAGCCTCCCTCCCTTCAACTCCAAGGGGTCTTGAAACTCCAGTGGTTCCTGGGATGCATCATTCTGCTTTGCCTTTAAAAGACCTGATCAGCCCGAGAGGGAGACAGGCCTAAACTTTTTAAAAATAATTTAATTTTTCAATTTGAGTTGATGTACACTATTATATTAGTTTCAGGTGTGTAATCCAATGATTAGACCATTATATAACTTACTAAGTGATCACCCCAATAAATCTAGTACCAAGCTGACACCATAGTTATTAAAATATTATTGACTATATTCCCTATGTTGTACTTGACTATTCTGATTAGCAATTTGTACTTCTTAATTCCTTCACCTTTTTCACCCATCCCCCAATCCCCCTTCCATCTTTTGAAAACCTAGTCCCCCAACCACCCTCCCCCTTGGCAAACCACCAGTTTGCTCTGTGTCTGAATCTACTTCAACTTTTGTTGTTTATTTGTTTTTTTAGATTCCACACATCAGTGAAATCAAATGGTACTTGTCTTCCTCTGACTGACTTTTCTCACTGAGCATAATACCTTCTAGGGCCATCCATGCTGTCACAAATGGTAGGAATTTGTTCTTTTTTTATGGATGAGTAATATTTTATTGTATGTATGTACCACAGATTTTCTATCCACTTGCCTATTGATGGGCACTTGGGTTGCTTCCATAGCTTTGCTATTGTAAATGATGCTGCCAGAACATCGGGGTGTATATATTCTTTAGATTTAATATTGTGGGTTTCTTCAGGTAAAGCCCCGGAAGTGGAATCGCTGGGTCATAGGGAGGCCTAGACTTTGCTGTGTCCCTGTACGTACCCCTTCCTCCCTAATCCTTTCCTCCGACCCCATCTGTGGCACTCAGGCCACCACAGTCACCCTCTTCTGCACAGGAACCAGTTACTTCTTCCTCTGCACCAGGGGTGTCCAACCTTTTGGGTCTCTGGGCCACACTGGAAGAAGAGTTGTCTTGGGCCACACATTAAATACACAAACACTAATGAAAACTGATGAGCAAAATAAAGGTCTCTGCATAATTTTTGTGATATCCACCATCACAGATAAGCAAAGAAGTCCTTACATAATAACCCCAAGTATGCAGTGGTCCTTTCTATACTCTTTTAAAACTGTTGAGCAGGTCCCAAGTTTGTGATCACTAATGTAGAAAATGTATGTATCTAAGTAATAAAACTCAGTATGAAACTTAGTAGTAAAGCTAAGTAATTTTTTAAGTAAATTTATGATTTTGTGTCAGGCTGCACTCATAGCCATCCTGGGCCACCTGTGGCCTGCAGGTAGTGCGTTGGACACCCCTGCTCTACACCTTTGCTCATGCCTTGTTTCCCACCTGGAATCCCTCCTGGACTATGCTTCACCTGTCTAAATGTCCACCTCTACAGATACAGCCAGGCCTTGCTACCCCTCAAAATCCACTGGCTGATCTCCCTCCCTGATCTACTCGGCTTTGCCAAATCCTGCTTTGTGTTGTTACTTACACTTCCAAATGTTGACCTGAGCTTCTAACTGGGCTTGAGGACAGAGCAAGACCTTCCCTACCACAGCCCAGTGGTGTGGTGGGAGGAGTATGGATTAGGAGTGTTGCAGACACAAGTTTGACTCTGGGCTCTATCCCTCACTTCCTTGTTGACCTTGGGTAAATTGCTTGACCTGAGCCTAGTTTTTTTCACCTGTTTAACATCATTTCATAGCATCTGAAAGGTCTGTAAAGATCAACTGAACTCATGATGTGAAAGAATCTTGTATCCCTAATTGAGCTGTACACAGATGACCCCTACTTTTGTTTCTCTCTGTTCCCCACAGCAAGAGATTCAAGTTATAGTCCTGCGTGTGTACCCAGGTTCACTCTACCTGTGTGACCTCCGAGAAGTCACTTAATGAGCACCTCCAGAGCATCAGTCTTCTAATCTGTGCAATGAGAATGTGAGAAGATTAAGTGAAATGCAAAGCTCTTGGATCAAGAAATACCATGCTGCCCTGGCTGGTATGACACAGTGGATTGAGTGCTGGCCTGTAAGCCAAAAGGTTGCCGGTTTGATTCCCAGCCAGGACACATGCCAGGTCAGGCCCAGAGTTTGGAGCGTTCAAGAGGAAACCAGTTGATGTATCTCTCCTGCATGCATTGATGTTTCTGTTCCTCTCTTTCTCCTGCCCTTCCTCTCTCTCTCTAAAAAAAAAAAAAAAGTCACATGCAAAATGCTTAATAAACTAAATTCTTTTTAAAAGTACAGCTTTGTCTCTAGGTGGTAAAGAAAGTGGTTCTTGGCTGGGCCTACAGTTCGAAAAAGCAAATTAAGGTTGGTTGGTTAGAACATCATTCTGATACACGGAGGTTGAGGGTTTGATCCCCAGTCAGGGTAAATACAAGAAACAACCAGTGAATGCATAAATAAGTGGAACAACAAATAGACATTTCTATCTTTCTCTCTCCCTCCGACTCTCTCTCTCTAAAATCAATAAATAGAAAATAACTTTTAAAAAAAGCAAATTAATGTGGAAAAGCCCCAGGATGCTCTGGACACTCCCTCCAGCCCTCCCCACCCCACTGCCCACAGCTCTGTAGACCCCAGTGCGCACAGCGCGCAGGCGCACATACGGGACAAAAGGGAAGGAAATGAGGCAGCTCCATTTGCTCTCTGACTAGATCTGCTTCCTCACCAAGGCTGTGGGTGTGGGTGTGTCTGCCTGTCATCTAGTCTCTGCTGCAGCCTTTCCCCTCAGGCGGACTTTCTAAAGACCAGAGGGTCTGCATTGTCAGGAGAGGCTCCCTGTTAGGCATGAAAATATTTGAATCATGAATCTCTGACCCTGGTACTTCCACTTGCTGTGGGTTTCAGGGCTGGGAGGCTCCCAGAGCATGCCTGTTCTGGAACTATTCCCTCTCCAGCCAAATGGGTCTAATTCAAATTCTATTAGCCTTTCAGAATATCATCCTTTGTGCTGAAATCTGAATAAGCGTATAGATTGTATCAATGCCAATTTCCTGGTTTTGCTATTACAATATATTTATGCAAGATGTTACCATTGGAGGAAACTGGGTGAAGGTTATACGGAAACTTCCCGTTCATTTTTTCAACTCCCTGTTAACTTTTAATTATTTCAAAATAAGAAATGTGTTGTTTAAAAAATCGTCTTTTCAATTTCCTCTCCACTCCCTTGGCCACCCTTAAGTCCAGGCCCTTATCAACCTCCTCTTGGATCCTAGCAAACACCTCCTGGTTTTCTAGAGAAAAGGAGAGGGAGGGAGGAAGAGGGAAGGTAACACGGATGTGTGGCTGCCCTGACTGGGAAGGGAATCAGCGACTCTGGTTCGCAGGCCAGCACTCAATCCACTGAGACACAGCAGTATCCATCCTTCTTTGCTGAGGCTGTTGCACACTCTAACTCTAGGGCTACCTTTCCTCTTCTCCATTAATAGTAGACGTCCCTCTGAATTCCCTGATGCTCAGAAAACTTTCCCCTAAAGGCCAGGCCCCGCCCCTTGGGACCCTCCAATAGGTAGGCCCCGCCCCTCAGGAGGATTTAACGGTTAGGCTCCGCCCCGCGTGCGTGCGTCTCCCCGCCAAGACGTGCTGGCGCCTGCGTAGCCTGAGGCTGAGGTGGCAGCAGCCAAGCCAACATGGAACTACCGCAGATGCCGGAGCTGATGGGTCTGTCCTTGTTGCTCGGGCTGCTGGCCCTGATGGCGACGGCGGCGGTAGCGCGAGGGTGGCTACGCGCAGAGGAGGAGATTAGCAGCCGGTCCGACGGTCAGTGGGGCCATGGCGAGCAGGGGTAACCCGCGGGGACCTCGCTTCCGACCGGCAGTCTGGGCCCGCGGGGGTGCAGGGTCCCTCCGGGCCTCAGTTTCTTCTCTTGTGGAATGAGCTTCGCTTTTCGACAAGAGATGCTGCCTGGCCCGGCTGGTCGCGCCCCTTCGGGAAGACTTTAGAACCTGGATCCCACTCTGCGGCTTCCTCGGTGCCACTTTGCCTTTTGAGTCTCAGCTTGTCTCCGGGGTTGCTGCGAGGTGGCTTGTAAACTCCCAAGCGCACTATTTGTTCGTTATTTTATGAAAATGGACGGGGAGGTGAGGGAGTGACGGACTGACATTCATTTGTGAGCACTCTGACTAGTTCCTTGATTTATTGTGTACCTACTATCTCAACAGGAGTCTTTTTTAGGGGGGAGTCCATTCTGGGGCAATGAAGAACATCTAAAATATTAGCGAAAAAATACAGTGTAATACGTTTCCTAGAAGGGGTCAGTACTAGAAACAGGAAACCCTGTGGTGGGAGTGGCCAGGCCTGCTTTTTTGGTGGTGGTGGGGTGCCTGTCAAGGAAACCTCCACTGATTGTAGGCAACACATGAGATGCGGTCTTAAAGCATAGCTGTGTAAGAGTTTGCCAGGAGGCCAAGGAAGGAAGAACATTCCTGGCAAAGGAAACATACACAAGGCAGGGAGCCCTCAACATCATTTGGTATGACTTTAGTGGGATGGGAGAGACAAGGGGGGGCGAAGGTGGGGGTTCTTAGACAAGGCTGGAGAGCTAAGCAGAGGGCAGATTGTGGCCATCTTTGTACTTTGGCCTCAGGAGTTTTTTTTTTTCTGTAGGAATTGAGGGTATGCAGTGATCTAACACCTGCCGACTTTGTGCCTGGCCTGATTCTCAATTAAATTAGCTATTTTATGCAAAAGTGACCTGCACCATTTCTGGGGCAGGGTAACTCAGTGCGTGTTAACTGCCTCTCATTCCTCAGTTTTCTCTAGTCCTTTGGGCCTTTAATGCTTGTTTTGGGTACTCTACTTGTCATTTTGTGTATATTATCAAATTCTGACAACTTTAAGGAAACCAAGGCCCAAAGTAGTTAAGTAACTTACCCAAGATTGGGACTGCCGGGTGCACATTATTCTCTGTGTAGGGTTGTCTAGCCAAGGATCTGCACTCTGGCTGTGCTGTGCACCCACTAAGCTGTACCAGTCCAGACACGGCACCTTTTCTAATTTTCACTGAGGTTCTATATGAACTAACAGCAGGCAGCCTCAAGATCACAATCCAAACCCAAGTCTGATTCCAAAGCTTCTCTCTTTGCCTGCACCACTCTGTCTTGAGGATGGGGTACACATCTGGTCATCTACTGTTGCTCCTCTCAGTGCCTGGCCAACTATAGGGGGTCAGTAAATGTTTATTGAGTGAGTAATAAAATGGATGAATGAGATGGCCCTTCCTTATAGGCCAAAAAGCAAATGGATTTCCACTTGACAAGTCCTCAAAATCGAAGAAGCAGAAACAGCAACAGCGTATTCGCAAGGAGAAGCCTCAGCAACACAACTTCACCCACCGCCTCCTAGCTGCGGCCCTGAAGGTACATACGCGGGTACCATGCACAACACAAATACAAAGACTTAAACCCCTACACAGACTTTTCCTTTGTAGTATTCTGTGCATATTGCAGACCCCTTGGTCTCTGACCAAAGTCAGTCTGGATGTCCCATTCTATCCCTTCTCACTGCATCCTGCCAGCACCTTGCTATTAATCCAGGCAGCTGGGCCCTGGAGTCATGGCTGCACATCAGTGTTCCCCATCTGCCCAGGGGGTTCCTGTTTACACGTGCAACCTTTCCCCCTAGAGCCACAGTGGGAACATATCTTGCATGGACTTTAGCAGCAATGGCAAATACTTGGCCACCTGTGCAGATGATCGAACCGTCCGTATCTGGAGCACAAAGGACTTTCCACAGCGGGAGCACCGCAGCATGAGAGCCAATGTAGAGCTGGACCATGCCACGCTGGTGCGCTTCAGCCCTGACTGCAGGTGGGAAGGATGGAGCCTTAGGATTGCCTGTAGAAGCCTAGCCTGAAGCTTATGGCCTTCCCATACATGGTTTGGGATAGTGAGGGGGGACTCAGGGTTCCCTTTAGGGTAGCAGAAAGAGAGCATCCAGACAGATTGAGCACTGCCTGGTGCTCCCTAGAGTGCTAGGCAGTTATATAGCAAGGAAGTAACTTGGGAAGTACCAAAGTCTGGTTTCCAGATTAGTCTTGGAAGCTATAATGATTTTCTAAGCCCTGCAAAGAAACTAAAGGAACAAAAACTATTAGAGTTCTATCTAGTGGGGAGTTTTAGATTTTGAACCAAGGGGTTAAGTTATAACACTGAACTGTAGGGATGGGGAGATCTTGATTTTCCTCAGAATCTATTGCAGTATAGGACCTGGCTCACATACGGTCCATGTCCAAATGAGTGTGTGACTGACTTGTCTGCTCCTTGTCTTTAGAGCCTTCCTTGTCTGGCTGGCCAATGGAGAAACCCTCCGTGTCTTCAAGATGAGCAAGCGAGAGGATGGCGGATATACCTTCACAGCCACTCCAGAGGACTTTCCTAAAAAGCACAAGGCACCTGTCATCAACATTGGCATTGCTGATACTGGTAAGAGGCATTCAGAGAGTGGAGCTTGCCTAAGGCAGGAAGGAATGGCTCTAGTTATAAATACTGAATGAGTTCATGCTGCCTCTTAGCATTTTGCTCAGCCTCAGCATGATAATAGGACTCTGGCTCTGTGTTTCCCCGGAGTCTGGGAACCGTAGTAAATCCCCAGGTAAGGCAGGTAAGAGCCACATTCTTTAGTAGTCTTTATGTGTGTTGACCCTTGGCCCTGGAGGGGAGCATGGGTACTTTGGGCAGCAATGGCTTTCCTGTGTGTTTCACTGAAGATTGGCAGTTGGTCAGGTAAAATTAACCTCAGCTTATGTCACTCCCCTCAATTCTCAGGAAAGTTCATCATGACTGCTTCCAGTGACACGATTATCCTCATTTGGAATCTGAAAGGTCAGGTGTTATCTACCATTAACACCAACCAGATGAACAATACACATGCTGCTATATCTCCTTGTAGCAGGTGAGGAAGGAGGGACTTTGGCATCTGGGATGGGTAGAGGTTGGGCTGGGGGCTAGGGACAGAGCAGTGAACCAGCTACAGATAGTGGAGAGAGCATACAGTGTTGAATCAGGACACCTAGATTTAAGTCCTTAGTCTCTATTTCTTCATCTATAGTTTTTAAAAGGTTGAGTTGGGGTACTGTGTATCTTATAGCATGGCTTTGTGGATGAACTGAGATCATGTGTGTAAAAGCACTTTTAAAAGATTGTGTCATTTATATATAAAATTAAATTTTTTAAGGAAGAGGCTTAATGGGTTTGCAGAAATAAGATGCCCTTAAAATCAAGTTTGAAAGGAATCTGGGTTGTATGACAGGTTTGTGGCCTCATGTGGCTTCACCCCAGATGTCAAAGTTTGGGAGGTCTGCTTTGGGAAAAAAGGTGAATTCCAAGAGGTTGTACGAGCCTTTGAACTGAAGGGCCACTCGGCAGCTGTCCACTTCTTTGCCTTCTCCAATGACTCCCGAAGGTGAGTGAATTCTCTGATTTCTTACCAGTGGCTCTCAGCTCCTCTTGGTAGCTAGGGTCTTTCTGCCTGTCTCTGCAGTAGCCCTGAACTGGGTGGGGTACCTGACCCTCAGCAGGAAGTAGACATAGTAGTGGAGTTGGCTTCCTAGTTGGAGCCCTTAGTGCTGTCCCAGTGCCCTCTCCTCCGGGTGTGTGGGCGCTAGAGCTGTGATTTTCCATGCTGCAGGATGGCCTCTGTCTCCAAGGATGGTACATGGAAACTGTGGGACACAGATGTGGAATACAAGAAGCAGCAGGACCCCTACTTGCTGAGGACAGGTTCCTTCGAAGAGGCAAGCAGCATGCCATGTCGCCTGGCACTCTCCCCTGATGCCCAGGTCTTGGCCTTGGCCAGTGGCAGCAGTATTCATCTCTACAACACCCGGCGGGGTGAGAAGGAGGAGTGCTTTGAGCAGGTCCATGGGGAGTATATCACTGACTTGTCCTTTGACATCACTGGCCGGCTTCTGGCCTCCTGTGGGGACCGGGCAGTGCGGCTGTTCCATAACACCCCTGGCCACCGAGCAGTGGTAGAGGAAATGCAGGGCCTCCTGAAGCGGGCCTCCAATGAGAGCACCCGCCAGAGGCTGCAACAGCAGCTGACCCAGGCCCAGGAAGCCCTGAAGAGCCTGGGTGCCTTGAAGAAATGACTGTAAGAGGGTGCAGCAGGAAGGATCTGGCCTGCTGCTGCCACCACTGCTGCTACTTTCCTTCCCAGGTACTCCCCAACTGGAAACCTTTTGAAAGGAGTATCCTGATTTTTTTTAATGGTGACCCCTCCTTTTTTCCATTGAATCTGTTCTTACCTACTTAGGTCTTTTGCTTCTTGCTGGTTGTGACTCCTGGCTGGCCTTGACCTCCCAGGGTGTTTTTTCCTCGGCCCAAAGGTTGGAATCTGTCTTCACTGGGCACTGAGGAAGAGTGGTAAATAGAGGAGTTGGGGAACATGGTCTTTGACCTTGTGGCAGCACACCCTGATACCCAGAGAAGTTTAAATTGTGGAGGCAAAATCTAAAGAATGCTCAAGTATTAACCAGCAGTGTTGCAGGGGTGGGAGATTGGGATATCTTACACGTACATAACTGTGGTATGGGTGAGGAAAAGGCTAGTCTGAATCCAGGTAAAGTAGATAACACTATTAAAAAGTAAGGGATTTCATTCTGTGCCTCAGTTTTCTTATTTGTTAAATGAAGAATAATCTTCTTTTGACTTCCTCACAAAGGTGTTGTAGGGATATGAGAGTAAAAAGTCCCTAGATTTGAAAGAAAAGTAGAAAAGAGTAGTAATACATATTGTCTGTTATCCAATATCATTTATTGACTACTGGGTAAAAGAGGGTCTGAAACTAAATTAAAAAGGAAAAAACACATCTGTTGGGAAGGTAAAGTTTCTGGGATCATACATTTCATATCTGGTACTGCTTTAAGTTGTGTGGAGGAATCAGAATCCCACAATGAAGTCTTCTCTTTCAGGAAGTTATATCCTGTTGGAGGGGACCCCTTTTTAGTCCATTAAGCATTTGAGAACCCAGCCTGCCCAGCACGGCTCAAGGCAAGACATGATCTCTGCCATCAAAGATGGCTGGTAGGAGAGTGGGACACTTGTCTATTAAGTACTTAATATTTACTATTAAGTGCTTTTTGTTAGTTGATTCATAGCTGTAGAAGGCTCTTATAAAAGTCAAGGTAAGAGGATTGAACCAGGACAGAGGCAGTGGAGATGAAGATGAAGTTGAAGGGATAGATTTGATAAGAGATTAGGTATTTAGAAGTTTGACTGTTTGGATTGGAGGGTGGTTTGGATGTGGGGGGTAAAGGAAATGAGGAATCTAGGAAGACTTGAGTCTAGGTAAAATTTATTCGTCCAAAATCAGATTCTTATTACCTTTCTTTAAAATGGGGACCTCCCTTATTTACCCCAAGTTCACACATAAATGTTTGAACAAGCCACAGCCTTAGAGTTATCCTTAATTATTCCCTTTCGTTACTCCCTCTGCCCCACTACCCTTACTACCATCCACTCCAGCAAAAAATTTTGGTTACTCTCCAGATTGTATTATATCCTGAATTTGCTGCTTCTCTCCATTTTTTCTGTTATCATCCTAGTCCTAGCCACTGTCTTCTACTGGATAATCTGGTCTCCTTGCTTCTTTTCTTGCTTCATTAAATCACTTTTACATAGAGTGATCTTCTGAAAATGTAAACAAGATCACATTGCTCCCCAGTTAAAACCCTCCAAAGACTTCCCATCACACTGGGAATAAAATCCAAAATGCTCACCGTTGCCCACAGGGTCATAAGTAATCTGGCTTCTTCCTTGTGTGTTCTTTTTACCACTCCCAACCACCCCAACCTTGCTGTTCCTCAGCCAAGCCAAGTTACTTCCAGCCTCAAGGTGAATTTGTGCCTATGCCCTTCCCTCTGCTTGGAAGCAGTTTTCTTTTCTATTGGCTGAGTTGTCATGCTTGTCACAATTCAGGACTCAGTTTCAGTTAACACTTCAGAGAGATGGTCCCTAACCACCCAATCTGAAGTAGCCCTTTCCACCAATCACATCACATCCATCATATTACTGCATTTTATTTTATATTTCATAGTGCTATCCAAAATTATACTGTTTGGATATGTTTGCTTCAGGGGTTTCAGTGTAAATGCTTATGGATGTCAAGTGGATAACGTAAATGCACGAATTGGGTGTCTTCTGGGTGTAAGATGGTAGGGACTGAAGTGATCTTTAGAGGGCATGTGGCCTGGGTAAGGGGTAGGGTTGACTGCTACTTCTTATTCAGGAATCCAGCAGAAGTTGCCAGTTTCAGAGAAGCTGGAAGTTGGCAGTTTATTATAAAAAGAAAAAAATTAAGTACTGTGTGGATGAAACAAAACACTAGTGTGGGCCAGAGGCAGCCCACCAGTTCTCTTAACTGGCAGCTTCTGGATTGTTCATTAACCCACTGGAATGTGAGCTCCACAAAGGCAGAATCCCTGTCTTTCTGATTTGCTGTATCCCAAGCACCATACCTGGGACAGAAAAAGCCCTCTATGAATGTCTTCCCACTCTTGCTTTCCACTGTGGTTTTATGTTCCTAATAACAGATTTCAGATTGGTAATGCTATACACATGGGTCCTGGTGAATATTAGCTTTCTGATTGCCAGAAGAATGAGACTAAAACTCCCCCTTGCATATCTGCTTGGCATTGGCATTCCTCATTGTGAAGTGTTGAGTTACTGAAGTCAGAAGTCTTCAGTTTTGGTTTCAGCTGGATCACAGACTGACTTGAGATCTTGAGCGATAGACCACTGACTACTCTGAGTTTGTTTCCTTATCTGTAAAATGGGAATAAATCCTGTCCCTGTGTTTCTGATGAGCCAAGTGAAAGCACTACAAAAAAAGTGATTACGGAAACTTCATGAGGACAGAAAGCTCCTTTCACTAAAAATGAGCTTGCTTCTCTTGTAAGCATGGGGAAGCGATCTGGATATTAATGCAGAACAGAGACTGCTGTGTTATTTTGATCAAAAATACTTGTGTATGAAGGCAGCGTAATATTTTAATATTACTATTTCAACTTCTGTGGATTTGAATATTTTCAAAATAAAAAGTTGGGGAAATACTAAAATGGTGGTATATAGCCTATTTTATCAGTTATCAAAAATAAAAATATTTAAACCACAGTTTTCATCAAGGTAATTATATTCATATTTAAATGATTGTTCTGTAATTAGAGATTATAGGAGGTAAGTAGGAAGCACATACTAATGTGATGAGTTAATCAGTGATGCTAGGTTATTTCATATAGTGCTAGATAGACCCAACACTGTCCTAAATTGGCCTCATATCTAGGAACTTAATTTGGGGATTCATGCACTACTCTAAAAAATTCCAAGAATAGGGATCTTATGAGCACAGCTTGGTTTCCACCCACAGCTCTTCAGGTGGAAGCCCACAGATGGGCACAGGTTGGCATTGCAGAAGCAGCCACAGCAACTGAAAGCATGATTCATACACACAAAATTGTGAATGTCTTCTGAGATCGTGACTGCATTTCCAAGTCTTCATTTCAGGCTACAAACTTCCAGAGCTCAGGGCAGTTAGAAAGTGAGTGTGGTTTCTACTTGCTTTCTATTCAGTATACAAATCCAGTGTGAGCCTATCTGCATTTTCTTGATCTCATTAATACTGGCTAACATTGAGTGCTAAGCATTTAATCCCTACCAACTTGCGACTGGTTTTGCCTCAGCCATTCTCCCAGTAACCACATATTTTTATCTGGGGAACTATCACTTCCCTGACTCGTGATCCATGTGATTTACAGAGGATAGACCCAGATGCTCCATAGTGGGCATATAATGAGTCAGCAGATCCCTGGACATGGCCAGAACATTAGAATAAAGTGAAAATATCTTTCATTTTCTGCTGGGATTGCTTAGTAAGTAAGATATAAGCTTGTTGTGTGTAGTCATGCCTAAGAATGAAGCTAACACAGGAAAATAGGGCCAAAGATGTAGAGAGATCACATGCTGAGGATGCTGTTTAGACTGGCAGATTCAGGCAAGCCTGAGGTTTCCACCACTAGAGTTGTCAGTTACAAAACAGTAAGTTATTGTTTATGATTAGTAAATTGTCTAAGGCACATAATCAATAAATGGCATGCCCTGATAGTTAAGTTTAGGCCTGTCTGGTACTAAGTTACATACCTTTAACTGGGGGATGGACTACCAGGTCCATCCCCAGAGGCAAGAATACAAATGGAGGCCCATATGCCACATCTTAATATCTAAAAGTTATAAATCAAACTAAGCTCAATTATGCTCTATCCTATCTTGATAGGTACAACATCCTGGAAGGCCAAGTTTGAATTTAGAATTCTCAAACTCAGGCCTGCCACAGTGTGGTGTCAGAGCAAGCCATCCCACGGTCAAGGCCTGTGTCTCTTTTGTCCCTACCTGCTTCTTTTCCACGTTGCAAAGGATACCCCAGCCCACACCTCCCAGGTGCCATCATATCCCTGAAAGCCCCTCACCACTTGATCCTTAATAGTGTGCACATGGCAGCACTGCCTTTGTAGGAACGACCCAGAGAAGGCTTGGACAGGCCTGGAGGCAGTTTTGGGTCTGTTGGTGCAGGGATTCCAAGGTTTTGGGTACCTGGACTGTGGTCTGGTGGGTAAAGTGGTGACACAAGCTCTGAGTGGTCCTGCAAGGTCTATGCCTGATGGGGAGGGGCATGGCAGGAGGAGGGCCAAGACAAGTCCCTCCAGAAGGAGTCCTCTTGCCCATGTCTAACACTGTTAACCACATTTCATGTTTCCCCTGCAGTTTCAAGTTCACTACACTAAGCTCTCCTTAATACATCAGAAATACAGTATTGTGAGTTTCTGGAGATTCAGTCAGATGTATCTCAAAGATACATAACTGTGTCTCTTTTGTCCCCAGATGTATCTCAAAGATACATAGTCTTGTATATATATTTTTTTCTTGTATATTTTCTTAACTGGTATCTGTGCCCTGATTACGGGCTCTCTGTTCTCTAAGTTCTTCCAAGTATCACACAGACGAGCCGCAGCTAGGGTACCAGTATGGAAAACAGTCACACCTGGATCATTCTCCATCACATGCCAGGATCAATCTGACAAGTTAAGAATCCAGGGGAGCTGAGCATACCAGCTTTCTCTCTAATAAACTGATAGAACTTGTCGTTCTGCTTTCATTATAGATTCTGTCACTACAGCAAGTAAACTCAGCTTTTTCACACTTAAAACATTTCAAACTGCTTACTGGCTTGTAAATTATGCTAGCTAATTGAGTAGTAGGAGTTATTTGTTTTTGTAAAAAGTCTCAGTTCAACGCCTTGTTGAATACCCTGTTTTAACCTCTCATCCTCTCCTTTACCCTTTTTTTTTTCTTAATGGCACCTTTCTGCCATAGCTGAAATATTTGGTAATAATGGCAAATATTCTTGGGGTTCTCATTATAATTCAGACACCATCCTCAGTGCTGTAGTAATAACTCATCTCACCCTCCCAGCAGTTCTATGAGAATAGGTACTATTATAACTTTCCCATCACCAATAGGGAATCTACATAATTGCCAAGGTCACTTAGGAGGTGCATAGCTGAGTTAGGATTTAAACCCATGGAGTCTCAGTTCAGAGAGCT